CTGCGTTCTGCCTAAGCAGGTGCTTTAGTCTGCTGAGCTATCAGGCTGGCCCAATATTGGAACTCAGTATTTCTGTGTTGTGTTGCCTCTGTCCATCCTCCTGTTATGGACAAGCAAGTTTCCTGCCTCTTAAACAATCTCTATTCTACGTTCATATTGACTTTTCTTTTTGATTTTCCACATATGAAAGAGAATATATATTTTTTGCCTGTGTAGGACTTACTTTAACATAATATCCTCCAGTTTCTTTCATTTTTTTTTGGTTGTTGTTTCAAATGATAGAACATCATTCTATTTTTTTGACTATATATATTATTTTACTATATATATTCTGTATTTGTTTTATTCATCTGTTGGTGGGTATCTAGGCTGATTCTACATCTGAGCTGTTATGCATGCTGAGAGCAGTACTAATCATGTATGTGCAGGTAGATCTCTGATATGTCATATTTCTCAGCCTTCTCATCACTGTGAGAAAACACCAGTATCTGTAATTTAAGGGAGGACAGGTTTATTTTGGCAGATAGCATCAGCTGGTTTGGGCATGGTTGTTGGCAGAAAGCACATGGCAGAGTGGTAGAGTGGAGAAAAGCTGCTTGTGACGCAATTAAGAAGCAAAGAGATAAAGGAGGAACCAGGGAGAAGACTGCATTCTTCCAAGTTGTGCGCCCAATAACCTACTCCTTAACCAGGCTCTGACTCCAAATGTGGGATTGTTTTAGATCTAAACCGTACCATTTCACCCCAGAAGACCAATCTCCATGTCAAGCAGATGCAGTTAGTCCTACTCTTAAGAGACACCAAAGTCTTAACAGTTCTAGCATTGCTAAAACTTCCAAGTCCAGAGTCGCTTCTGACACTAAAGGCAAACTCTTTAGTTGTGTGAGCCCTTGTAAAAATAAAAAAGGAAAGATAAATACGTGCAGCATACAGTGACACACAGTAAGTAGTCTCATTTCAGAAGGAAGCAACAAAGGGGTAGAAGAGTTTGACCAAAGTGAGAGCAGAACCCAGTGGGCAAATGTTAAATCTTGCAATTCTTTGTTCAGTACACGCGACTCAACTCCAAAGATCTTGGCTGTCCCTGCCCCAATGGTTGCTGCCCATGGTCCCTGTCTCTTTGGGTGGCTCCACTTGTTGCTTGTGGTTCTCATTAGCAGCAATTCTGTTTCTGGCATCTTCTGTTTCTTTGGGTCTCCACTCTTACAGCCTCACACTGCCCCCTGAGGCATAGTGCCAGGCCTCCCAGCATTTATCATGAAATCGAGGTGGAAGCCTCTGTGGCACCTTACTTCTTACATTCTTTCTGCCTGTGCAAGAAGTACCAGATGGATGATGCCAGAGTGCCCCACTTGCTTGATTGATAGCCTAGACCCTCTGCTCTGCCCTTGTAGTGGTGCTGAGTGCCTGGATGGCTGAACATGGTGAAATGAATCCAAAGAACTAATTGTCTAGGAAACTTTTCTTGAGTAGATATTCCAGGGATATTTTCCACAAATAAAAGCTTTGCAGTTTTGCATCTTTGAGTCTGTTAAGAATAGAGTTTGGCCAGTTCCTGATAGGCCTTTGAGCCATCTTTCCTGCTGTTATGTTGTAAAATGCTAAGCTTGTTTTTAGTGCTAATCTTTACAGCAACCATTCCATTTTGCCCAACTTTTCAGGGACTTCCTTTCTGATGAAACTGCAAGCATAAAATAATTCAGTTCTGTAGTTTGCTTCTGATTTTCACTATAAGTTTGATTTGAAACAGCCAGCAGTATCCATGCTAGAGCCTGAATATTAGGATGCTTTGAAACATTATGTGTCAAATCACTTATTTTGCTGCCTTTAATTTTAGTCTCCCTTAAAGTTTCAGGACATTAACAAAATATAGAAAGTTTTTCTGCAAGAGCGTAACAGACTAAATGCCAATGCAGTTTGAATTTGAAAGTTCCTGAGCCTGGCCTGTACTATTTTCCTACGAGCATTGTAGTCTTTTGATTCTGACCAGAGTCACCCATCAAACACTGTTTACATCATTCTAAGGCTTCTAGCTGGCATCTTCAAATCTTTCCAAATTCCTTCCACAGAGCAGTTCCAAAGACTTTAAAGCCACATGGTCATGTTTAATCTCAGCATCTGAGCCACTCCTGGTACCAGTTTTCTGTTTTATTGTGTTTTTCTGTTGCTAGAAGAAAATACCCATCATTTGCAACTTATAGAGATTTATTGTAGGTCACAGTTTCAGTGAGTTCACGCCATGGTTGGCAGGAATTACGTGACAGGAAAGCGTGGCAGAGAAAGATGCCCATGTCATGGCATCCACAAAGCAAAGAGAAAGGAGATGGGATGAGAATATACCCTTGTGACCTGCCCTTTCCTACCACGCCCTGTCTCTGAATATGAGGCTTTTGGGGCATATTTTAGATCTAAACTGCAACAGATGTTGCTACAATTTCCTATGAATATATATCCAGTTTGAAATAACTCTAAATGTCTTCCAAGTTTTTTGAAAAATGATTGGATCATGGTGGTGCTTTACTGATTGGTGTACTCATCATTGTCAGATTCAGAGCTGAATCTACTGTTAGGTGAGGGGGCCTGACCGTGAATGGATCCCTGAAGGGACATCCTGGTGAAGTGTCTTCCTGTCCTTGGCTCTACCCTTCTCTGCTGCCTGGGTGTCATGGGTTGAACAGGCCTCCTCCACCATAACATTTCTTAATTGAGGCTTTTTTTTTTTAATTTGTTTTTGGTGCTGAGGGCTGATCCCAGGGCTTCCAGCTTGCTAGGCAGGTGTTCTACTGTTGCACTAAATCCCCAGCCCCATGATAACGAGCTGGCCAACCATGAACTACTGGGAACTGTGAACCTTCTAGAGGCTATACATTGTATGTGTTGGAAATTTTGTCTTAGCAGTGAAAAGACTAATATAATATGGCATAGATTTGTTTTTAGTGTTTTGAGGAATCACAGTACCAGGTTCCATGGTGTCTGTACTAAATTACATTTCTACCAACAATGTATAAGAATTTCCTATCTCCACATCTTCACCAGCATTTATTCTTGTCTTTTTGATAACAGTTGTGTTAAATGGGGTGACATATCCTATTGTGGTTTTTGACTTGCATTTTCCTAAAGGCTAGTGATGTTGAACACCTTTTTATAACTTTGTTGGCTACTTGACTTTTTTTTTAAACTTTGTTTTAATAGTTCTCAAAATTCTGTGACAGATTTTTGGTCAAATTGTTTCCATTAAAAAGTATTGATTTAAAAACTAATAACTTAAAAACTTAAACACACACACACACACACACACACACACACAGGGTCCACAAAACATTCTCCTTTCCTGCTGAAGGTTTTACGATGCATTGTTATCATTAACCAGTCTTTCACTATTAAACTTAAATGGCCAATTGGGAGAAACAGTTCTGAGACTGGTCTTCCACCACTGATTAAGACTGGGGTAGCAGGTGTCAGGGATAATATTCATTTAGCTTTCTAAGCTTTTGGGCAGACGTGGTGACCTTGCCAGCTCCAGCAGCCTTCTTGTCCACAGCTTTGATGACACCCACAGCAACTGTCTGTCTCATATCATGAACAGTGAAACGACCCAGAGGTGGGTAGTCAGAGAAGCTCTTG